AAAGGAGAAGAAACAGCTGAATAAAACAAAGAAGACTTTTTAGACAAAAATATATGGAATACACAGAAAGGATTTAATCTTTCGCATAAATCTTGTTTGAAAGTTACAAAAATTAGGAATAATATACAAATATATTAAATCTTCCAACAGTGCATCAGAAAGGAGAGCAAACAAAAACCAACATTCACCATCAAACTCCCTTCGCATTGCCTCATAACACGTTTGCGTCAATTCCTTTTCCACTTTTCCGTATCGACTATTTCTTTTATCACAGGTTTGTATTCCCTTCTTTGGAGACCTTTAAATGTCTCCTATACATGTATATCTATTCTTCAATGCAAGTCTTTTCAAAAGAAGACGCTATACACAACTGTCATCTACTCAGACAATGCATGTCATTACTAGAGCAAAGAGCGAAGGAAAACCATAACAGTTCTAATTAGTCCAACAAGGAGAAAAATAAATGTTTAGTACCTCTGCTGTGGTACAACTGTCAAGTTGGACAGGTTCTCCTTTGTTCTCATTATGCTTTTTGTACAATATGCCATCACTTTTTTTTTCCAATAGCAATGTGAGAATATGCACTTGAAATGGGAGCATTGTAATCTACTGCAGTATCAAAATATCATCAAACCCTTAACTGTTAGCAACACAAAGCTTATAATGTACAGATATATCAATTATTAACAATATCACTAAAAAAATTCATCCAAACCTTTCTTTTTATTGTACAAAGGTTACTCTTTTTTTTAACTAGAATTTACTAAGATCTCTGTGACCGTGAAATAAAATATGAATGCAGAGGAAATAAATATGCATTTCAGCTTCAACAAATATGCATGTAGAACTTCACTAAAAGGTGTAATCTGCATGAAAGAAAAAAGAACAAAGGAAAAAAAGGCCTATATCACTGTCATGTGACTCTACTTGAAAGCTAGTTCATTCCACAGACTAGCACAAAAATTCCATAGACTCTAGCACAAAATTTAAGTCGAATAAGGGCCACAACTCACCCCAATATCGGTGTATAGCAACCAAAAACCATATACAAGCTGCATTTTGTTAGAATTTCTTTGATGCCAACTAGGATTCCATTACAACAATGCTTTCAGTAGTTAATATCCCACAACAAACCTTTTTTTCTGCGCCAGAGTCTGAGGAACTGGCTATACTCCTTAACCCAAAGTCCTACTGGCTGCTCCCTTATACAACCTAAGCCTAACTGGTATTAAAGTATAGCTTTTTTCCACACTGACTGGCATGTGATGTCACTGCATCAAGTCACATAATGCTCTATAAAAAATGACTGCAAATACATTTAAAAGTATTGAACTACCAAATTGTGATATATATATAAAAATCTATATCTGTCTTGTATGTGTGTTCAAATATTAAGTAAATTCTATGCCTTGAAAATATATGGTGTAGGATACTCATTTTTTCCCCCCAACTGCTTTGCCCATCTCACAAATTCACTCACATTCCCCACAAACATTTACACTTTCATTCCTCCCTTCCTACTCTCACTTTCCATCACTCAAACCTCTCACACTCACTCACCCAACCCTCCCACACTAGCTCGCTCACTCACCCTGTAACTCTGCAAGAAGGATATCTATAGTAGTAGCCCACATATTACTGATAAAAGCTTAGCTGCAAGAGAATTGGGCTGTCTTCAAGGGCTGTCAACATTTCCCCTGCATGGTCTATTAGCAAATTTATTAAGTACATTGCAGTGCTAATTACAGTAAGGAAGAGAGAAGTGGATACAAAGAGGAAAGGGGAGAGGAAGAGAAAGGAGGAGGGAAAGGGAGAGGAAGAGGAAAAAGGATAGGAGAGAGAGAGAGAGAGAGAGAGAGAGAGAGAGAGAAAGAGAGAGAGAGGGAGGGAAAGAGAGAGAGAGAGAGAGAGGGAGGGAAAGAGAGAGGGAGGGAAAGAGAGAGGGAGGGAAAGAGAGAGGGAGGGAAAGAGAGAGGGAGGGAAAGAGAGAGAGAGAGAGAGAGAGAGAGAGAGAGAGAGAGAGAGAGAGAGAGAGAGAGAGAGAGAGAGAGAGAGAGAGAGAGAGAGAGAGAGAGTGTGTGTGTGTGTGTGTGTGTGTGTGTGTGTGTGTGTGTGTGTGTGTGTGTGTGTGTGTGTGTGTGTGTGTGTGTGTGTGTGTTTGATTTGCCTACACACATTTTTACAAATGTTTCAGAAATTTTCCAAATATATGTCTCAATTCACATCTCATTCCACATGAATGTCTATATCCATAAAAAAAATTGAGTGAAATTCTTGTGTAATCGAAAATGCACTTGCATAAAATTGCTAGAAAAGGAAATGAAAAATGAAGGTGGTACTGCGGTTTCCAATTTTGCTGAACACTTGAAACCTAGTACAGGCATCAGGCAATGTGCTTGAGAGAAATACAACCTACTGATTATTATAAAAGTTTAAAATTTCCAAAAACAAATCAGTATGTACAATCTTTTCTCTTTATAATTATTGGTTGACAAACTACTGGTCAAAAATCCTCAACAAATTTTGGTCCAAAACAAATTTTGCTTGGCTGCTTTGATATACCATTCACTACCATTCACCATATTCTTTAGAAACACTCTAAAATGTCAATGGGATTTTGGTCGTTATACCTTCCGATTGTGCAACAAAAAGTTTGACTGCATGAGGAATTCTACTATTCCAGCAATGGACTTTTTTCAGTATCTTTCCCCCCAAAAAAGAACAAGAAAGAAAAAAAGAAAATGACACTTTCACTTCATGCATCTGCTGTGCAAAATGCTTCACATTGTAAATCAGAATCATATTCTTAGTACAAAATTAACTGCTGTAGAAAAATATATAAAAATGAAAGATAACAAATAATAATAACAACTATTTCAAAAATTACTAATTAACCACATTATGCATAAAACCAGCCTGCCACAAGAATAAAGAAAAAAAAAATGCAGACAGACAGAATATCCAATTAATCATTCCCAATCAGCTTCTTGTTCGGATCTACAGTTAAACGACCTACTACTCTCAGTAACATTAAATGCACTAGGACTGAACTGAACACCTTAGCAAAAGTCACTTCTTTCTTTGGCTGGCCTAGTTTTCTTGGCTTCTATTTCCTACCACCTTGTCCCAGTTTATACCTCTAGCTGGCCTATATTATCAGCCAGCACATGCCTCCAGTTGGCCTGCACCTTCGGCTTATGATCTCAATCAGCCCACACCTCCAGATCATACCTTCGACTAGCCCATACCTCCAGTCATTAGGTCCCAACTAAACCTCGGCACCAAGATCCTGCACGGCGCTCTGGGCCACTGGAACGAACTTGTCCTCAATCTGAACAAGGAGGATGACACGGTCCACATGCGAACGAAGGCGGGGGTCTGGGTGGTGTGGGGTCCAAGTATGCACCACCGACCCTTCCATACCCTCAATGGGAACCCAGTGTCCCCAGAAGCTCCGCCCACCACGCTTCCTCATGCTTTCATCAGGCCAGACCACGTCAATGCGCCGACCCAGGTTTAAGGTGTCATAGACCTGGTTGGCATCTATTATCTAGAGGGGGAACATGGGGATTAGTTAGTCTGGTGCTGAAATGTATGATCTATATCCAAATGATAATGACAGATAATAATGATAATGAGTGATCATTATAATAATAATGATGATGGTGTAATAAAAAGTATCAATAACAGTAATATACTTTCAAGGAAATTACAAGGTATGTCATAGATGGAATGTAATATGCAAAAGAAAATTCCATAAAGCAAGAGGACATAACTTCAATACCAAATAAAAAAGAACACAAATTCCCAACCACATAAATCTGTATACCTATCATATATGAAAGTACAGAAAGGCAAAGTTATACTATATCCACAAGTTTCCATATAAATACTACTACAGCCATGCAACAGAATTTAAACCAAATTCATAACAGGAAATCATTGAAAACTTACAATTACTTAATCAGAAAGACAGAGAAAGTCAATACAGAGGAAGGAACAAATTAATGAAAATAAATAAAAATTAATAAAATTAATACTTACCCTCACTCTTTGCACATGCTTGTCTGGGGGTGGAGTGGTAAATTTTTCTTCACTTTCCTCATGCAGTGTTGTACATTCTTCCCTTAAGCTCGAGGCATCCCAGCCAGTCTCTCTTAAATGCACCTCTCTCGCTGTCACCACAGAGGGCACTGGAGGAACTTCACGGGCAGGAGTGGACAAGGACGAGGTGGGTGTACTGCGACTACTGGCTGATATCCCTGCACGCACCCTCTTCTCCCCTCCTACAAGTGAGCCTTCCCTTCCACTATGGAGAGAAATGTCCCTACCACTATGCAAGGACCCTTCTCTCCCACTGTGGAGTGACCCTTCCCGCCCGCTGTGTATGGAGCCGGCATCTCTCCCACTGTGGAGAGAGACGTCACGTGCACTCCAGTCCCTGTCCTTGCTACTGGCTGATCCCTCACTCAGTCCGTCTCTGTCTCTCGGGTCCAACCTGGAGAGCCCAGCTGTGGTATCAGAAAGGAGGCCAGCTAGACTTGCCAGAGTAGATGTTGACTGCTTGTTAGTTGGGCCAACAATCGATGACACTGTGGAAACGATGGATCCCCGGTTGGCATGCAGAGAGCCTCTTGAAAGGGACCCTCCGCGCCCAAGACTCCCATGGCCGAGGCTGCCTGTGGCTGTTACCAGGCTAAGGCCCCCAACCTGCGAGCCATCCTGACTGCCTCCAGATCCAAGGCTTGGAGGAACTGTTGTAAGCACTGAAAAAATTTTAAAACCATTAACTACAGTCTCAGTACTATTAAAGTGCATCCACAAAAATGCACAAGATAACCAATAGAACTCTATAACATATCTCTACAAGAAAAAATCATATTTCTTCATATAAACATTACCTTGGTGAAGTGGAATGGTATTATGATGAGGGTCAGCGACCCGCCCACATTCATTGTTCAAACCTGAGCTGCCACTTGAACACCCTTCACCACAACGCTGCCGCACCCTGGCAAAAGGAGAGGAACTTCATATCTTAGTCAGCAGATGCTTTTCCTAAAAAGAAGGGCATCATGAAACAGGTTCTTAAATTCAAAGGTGAGGTGAATCTTATCCTCCTACGAATAATACAATAATCCTTATATGGATCAGAATGTGTGGCAACAGATAAAAAGATGCCTACTCAAACTGAAAATGATACAGAAATCAATTTCTTTCACAAATTAGAAAACTTCCAAATCTAAGTACTTTTCATCTATGGCAACAGACTGAACACTTTCTGAAGACTATCTATCAACTCCAAAGAGGTAAGCAAAAGAAAAAGGGGGGGGAAAAAAGGTCAACCACCCTCAGCCATCTAAACCTAAAGCAGCAAAAGCACTTCATTCTCACCTCTTCCAAACACCAATGATCGTCTCCTTTATAAGCGTCAGACTAATTGGCCCACCACAGATGGCCTTCAGCTGGTCATTGGTGTCAGCGTAAGATGTGGTGAGTGGGGACACATAGATTGGGTAGCCAATGGGCTGGTCACACGAGGAATTTATGATGTTGCGAAGGGCTTGCTTGGCGTTCTGGATGGAGCCTCTCTCGGGGTTCCTGTTCCTCAGGTACACAAGCTCCTGCTGCTGACCGGCCCACAGCCCCCGCACACACTCTCGGTTCACTTTGATCACGCGGAAGGACAGGTGCCGTTTGTTGAGCATTATGATTTTGTATTCGTCGGCACCATCATCCATCACATGTCTGTGGGGGTGTTAGCGTATGTTTTTTAAAGTGGAAAAAGGGATTTAAGAAGATTTGGGTATGGTTTTTATGGGTCATTAATAAGGGAAAAAAGAAATTTCATATGGGCTCTTCTATTGCCTCAAAGAAAAGTGATACTAAGCAAGAGGATGATAGCAACAGTATCAAGAACTATAAGAGCAATAGCGCAAGCACTGGCACTAGTAAAAAAAAATCAATTCCTAATTGAAGAAACAAACACATAAATAAATAAATAAATATAATAATATAATAGTAGCAATAATAATCCTAAAAAATAAAAAATAAAAAATTATTATCAAAAGAAATAACAATAAAAATCTAATACATAATATCAACAATAATAATATTAGCAAATAAGAATAACAATGATCATATAAATAATATTAACAGAAAACACTAATAACAATAAAATATGTACTAAAATGCATATGGGCATATAAAGAATCAATATATTTGTGCAATTTTCATATACACTTGTAGACAGCTGATCTTAAACAGCCTATCAATACATGGACAGACAGGTAAACAAAACGACAAGATATCTGAACAAAAGATCGCACTAACTCACCTGAGGGCTAACAAGGAAGGCTTTCCAGAGAGGACGGCATTGCGCCAAGTGGGGTCTCCCTCATGGGAGATGACTAGCTGGGCCTCATGCTCAAGGATGGCATTATAGAGAGACTCGTGGTTGTCGTACTCATCAGGAAGCATGAAATGATCCTATTAGCAAGAAAAGAAAATACATAATTACAGGAATGAATAAAACTAATAAAACCATTATTTATTATAAACTATTTTTTAGGACCACCACTTTTGTTAAACTTTTTCTTTTTCTTATTATAGAATTACAGACATACTTTTCTTTGTATACTATATTCCCGACAAAGTACATCTAAGTAGTGTATATATAAGTGACTTTCACAGAGAAAGTTCCACAGGAAAAAAAGTAGTAAAATTAATGTACTTATGGCATTGAGGCAATCATAAAAAAAATAAAATAAAATAACTTCAGTCTTTAGAAGAAGATATTGAAGTAAAGCACTATTCAGCACTAAACCTGTTGAAATTGAATTAATGAATTACAGCACTTTTTTCAATATCTAAGAAAACAAATTCTTAAATCTAAGAAAATACCCTAAATGCCACTAAAACTTTTTTCTTCTTTTTCCTTTTTTTTTTGTAAAAGGTCTATTTCACTCTGTCCAAAATGGATGATCATTGAACATGACCACATAATTATAAACCTTCATAAATCTATTAGAGGATAGAAAATGTATACTTTTCCATAAATAACACAGTAATAAAATTGATTACTGAAGCCTGATAGACAAATCAGAATGCCATTGGAATAGTATAAACACTTCAACTTTTAATGTCAATGTCTCTATATTGTTAAATCCAAACAAACTTTTTTAGTAACACGGATACCAGATACTTCTGAACTTGATGTGAAAAGAAAAGAAAAGAGAGAGAGAGAAAAAAAAAAAAAAAAAAAAAAAATTGAAAAATGCAAATACATTACCTGGTGAAGCTTGAGACTCATCCTCACTCCCGGAGCAACCACACGCCTCAGTAGTTCCATATCCGTGAACACCCACTCGTCTCTCATGGACGTGATACGGAAGTCCCCCTTGAAGAGTGCATGGAGGCCATGGAGGAAGAAATCCACACTTGACATTGCGTTGTGGGATGCTGCGCCCAGGGCACGTCGTCCTGCAGGTTGGCATGGATGTTTGTTTTTTTTTCTTAATTATCAAGTGGTGGAAGCTATTATATAGGAATATTAACTTAAGCTCCATTAAGATTTCCTAAAGAGCATCATTTACCTTCCAATAGGCCATTAAATGCAGATTCCAAAATTTTAGAATATACTAATTTTTCATGAGTTATATATCTTAATCTTATCTGAATATTTGGCACTCTTTCCCACACACATGCCTTACTGCACCTAAACATGCCACCACCATCCATGCTTCCATAGAACTACACAAATATGCACATGTACAGTCGTTCATTCGCTTACAAGAGGCAATTATTTAAGTATATAAATTTGTACAGTACTATTAAATTCCTATCAAATCCTAGGAAAACTAAAAGACCCTTCCTTACATCACTCCACAAAAATTTAAAATAAGCAAGTCCTCAATACATTCTTTCCTTCCTTTCAAAAAAAAATCAACCTCCAGTCAACATAAACCCAGATTACCTAACAAACTGAGAGCCAGACAGAGGGAGATGAGATGTGACTCCCTCCCACTCTCAATGGCTTCTTGACCATTGCCTGATCCTCTCCTGGTGACGCAATAGACAATCCATTCGTGGTAGACGTTGCAGAAGCTGGTTCGGGTAATACCAGATTCCTTGAAATCATAATCTTCATCTATGTTGAGGTTGAAGATGGGATCAAGGTCCACGAATTTCTTATCTCGTGTGTGTGAGAGCGAGGCATTAATTTCGGCATTTTCTAACCATTCTTTCAGCTTTGGCGATCTTACTACATAGAAGATGATACTCTGCAAAGACAGAACTAGGTTACAAATTATTCTAGTTCTATTTACACTAATCTCATTAACAGTAACAACAAAATGGAAGATAATGAAATGAGGCCTTCTACTTCTAGAGCCACGCACACACCTTCACATAGTATGTGATGAGAATCTTCCGCAGCTCAAATATCTGGAGCATGGAGGCGGCAGAGTTGTCTGAGATGGAATAACCCTCCAGAACATATTTTGTGGCTGTGACCTCCCAGGCCAACCATCTCTGGTTGAAGGCTGCATTGGCACTGAGCAGGTGGGGCAAGTGGCCAGGTTCACAACAGCAGCAGCCTGTAGGTACCCATGGAAAGATTATACCCAAAACATTTATAACATGTGAAGAAAAATAATAACAAAAAAAATAATAATAATAAAATACATCAACAAAGCCATATAGGCTTAACTGTCTTCTGAAAAGCTTCATGAAGCCATTAATATGAAAAGAGGTCTTGGATCATATCTACCTAAATGCTTTTTTTACATACCAAGATTTCCATTCAAACTTTACATCTATCAATTTTGTAAAGCAAGCCTACATCATATATAAGGACTGAATACATAAACAGAGTAGGTACTGCATCTCTATTATATTTACTTTCCTATCCACTATCTATTCAGGCATTGGCAAATGATGAATTTTAGTTACATCTGTTTTCTTGATTACTATGCACATTACACCTGTGGTATCCAACATGTTCCAGCACTTTACATAAAACAAAGCCAATCCATGGTATCACTAGTAAACATAATAGTGATAATCAAGTTTTATATATTACCTGCATCCTCCTCAACACCCTCTGAGATAGCTTCAACCTCTCGCTGCTGACAATAAGTGCCACGGAACTCCAGCCCACGCATTTGGAATGTCACAAGACCATTGCCAAGCTCAATGATGTGTACAAGGCAATTGAGATAATCCGAGGCAAGAACAAAGCAGTCTCCCTGGCTGGCTGCTCCCCATCGACCTAAAAGACATTCATGCTTTGTTTAATATACAAAATATGAATCATATGTAATGTATTATGAAAGTTCCTAATATCAAAATACCAAATCTTAAAAATCTAACTGATATATAAACAATTCATGACAATTTTCTTTCCCTACTCAAAAAAAAGAAAAAAAGAAAAGAAAAAGAAATATAAATGCAAATACAAATCAAAATGAATAACAAAAATCACATACCCATCTGGAGGTCTCCACAGAGGGAGTGCTGTAGTGATCTAGTCAGATGTTCATAGAAGATGGAGTTGAGGTTGTTGTCATCCGAACCTGGATTCCTCTCCAAGTGCGAAGAGAGGCGGGTGTTGGAGTGGTCGACGCGCTTTGTGTTATAGTCGCGCTCCCAGAACTTGATCGGGCGGATGTAGGAGGTGATGAAGATGGCTGAGCCCAAGATTGGGTTGAGCGGAGTAGACAGGATAGCAGAGACAGCAGCTTGTACGAAGAGCATAGCAGAATGGGGAACACTGAATGGCTGGGCAAATGCATGGAAAGCTGATCCCCATGTTATCTGCCATGGGGCTATGTATGTTACAATGAATTTCATTTTCAGCAGGAATTCATACACTCTGGAAAAAATTATCCCCATAATGAAGTAATCCACTAAAAAGGTCTGGGATTTATCCTTAAAATCACATTCAAAGAAAAGTTTGGCAAAAGCCAGGATGAGGTATTGAGACTCCGGCTGGGAATACACACTGCGCAGACACTTGACACCACAGATCACTGTCATTAGCGTTCCAATGTTGAGCCCATGGTTTTCTATCAACGTTGGCGCATCTTTGGTTAAGGCACAGAGAAAAAGTACTGGATAAACAATATTTTTTTCTATAATACACAACCATACATACACTTTTTCAAACCACATGATTTTGGCAGCATCATAAACTTCAAATTGACTGTACTCATGCGTTCTACAAACTGGATGTGCCACACATAGCCACGGCAGCTGTTTTCTTAACTGCGGTATTATGTAATGGTTCAGGAAGCCAAACACGGTAGCAAATATCCAAAGAGCAGTTATTAGATCTGGGCTTTTCCCATCTAAGAGCACTTTGAACACTGTACTGGAGTGTATGGCGAACACCCCCACAGCTATCACCGTACACAAGATAGCATCATGGACCAGGCGAGCATGCACCGTGTTGCGCAACTTTTCTGGTAGTGGATCCGTCAGTTCATCTGCTTCCTGGGGAGGCTGGGGGTTGTTGGTCCCGGCTTCCCTGCGCAATTCTTCAGGCCACATGTGCTGTTGGATGAGGCGCCAGAGAGTGGTGGGGTCCGAGGCAGATCGGCTCAGGTGGTAGCTGAAGGCAACTGCTAGGCCGCAAAATATGGAGTAGAGAATGTGCTGGGTCTGAGCTTCAGGCTCTCGGAGGCCACCATAGGCAAATCCAAAGAGGAAGAGCACAGTGAGGATGGAACGCCCTACGCAATACAGAGCTGAGGTAAGGCTTGTGGTTGCGTTCCCACCAAAGACATGAATGTCTGTCTGCTCTAGAATGTACATGAGGAAAGTATTAACCTGAGGCAAAAGCCCAAGACTAAATATAAGTGGGAAGAACAGTATAAACAGCAACAAGAAATCTCTACACTGATGCATCTCCCTGTTAGTAAATTCAATGCCATAGAGGCTGAAAGAGAGCCAGTTGCTATGACTATCTAGGTACAATTGTATGAGAAGTATGATACTACAGCAAAGAATGAAGTACACAGGTCTACTGTAGAGAATAACACGGTTGTAACCATGGGTGGGGGAAGCTGCGTCTGGCTGTACACTCTTGAACAATGAGTACTGACAACTTGCCATGACAAAACAAAATATAAATACCCTCAATTCCTGATAAAACTCTTTATAAAGAATTATACACCCTAAAACGCTAACCATTATAGCAAGGAGTATACAGATTGAATTTTCTAGAACTGTAATATTCCTGTCCAATAAAGCTAACAGGAAAAGTCTATCAAACTTGATCTTCACAGACTTCTTCCCACAAATCTTAAATTTATAGTACTGTATTGTTTGAGGTGCAGTAACTGGGAACTTGAGTTTGTTGGCTGAGAGACCACGGTCCAAGTCCATGTCAAGTCCACTAGGCCAGCTTATATTCCCAAGGGCCTCAGAGGTGATGATGGAACCTGCTGCAGTGCCCGGACGGTTGCTAGAGCGTCTTCGCTCAAAGAAAGCATTTGTGAAGAGCTGGAGAGGGTTATGAGGAGCCCCTATGCTTAGTAACTGTAAATGGTGACGTGTTTCCGAAGACAAAAGGGGTAGATCTCGTCCACCCCTCGGCCCTACTGTTACACGTGGCAATGGATCTGGTTCACTTGGCCCTTCCTGATTACTTCTGTCCTGGTCTCTTGAAGTTGTCCCACTTGCAGAGACTGGTGGTGATATGGAGCCTCTCCGTCCCGCACTCGAAGAGACTGGTACTACAGCTGAACTCGTCATGCTACGGCAGGAGGAGCTTTACGCCAGGCGAACGCGTCGGCCACTAGCCTTAGAGAGGGACAAACTGCTTGGCTGCCTTCCTGAGCCCTACCTGATTACTTCTGGTCCTTTCCGCCTCACTTCAAGACTTTGTGGTGTGACAGCACCACTACACTCGATGCTGTACTAACACCCGATCATGAATGTGTAAGTGAACCAGTTCCCCCTCTGGAGCAGTGGACGGCTCCATCCGTATCTTCTCGAGGCCAGGGGAGGAGAGTGAGGAGACGAAGAGACACATGAGCGAACCTCGGCGCTTTTCGAGAGTGGGACCTCCTTCCCCGATGATGCAAGGTGGGGGGGCTGGTTCTCATAAGCAAGTGGAGAGAGTGTAATAAATCATCAGATCCTGGAGGCATTCCATTTGCGCTAGGTACCTGTCCGCCTCAAAAAGACACATTTGCATATAAGCGTATGTATATAACACCCAATAAATCAGATGGATTAATGAAAAAAAATGCATATAACATTGTCATGCCTGCGCCCTATAGCCCATAGTTGGGGAGCAAGAATCATAATTAATTGAAACAAAGCAAGATTTAGATGTAATTAAAATCATGATCCAATCAAAAAAATCATACTTAATATCTTAAGCCACAATCAGATTATACAAAAAAATTTTCTATATATTCACAAAATACCAAATCTTAGCTCTTATTTTTCCTTCAATGTAATTGCATACACAACGAGCTTCCTGTTAAGAAGGGTGACACCTGATTGCGTCATACTGTGGACTGCTGGGCATCAAGAGCCAGTCAGCCACCATGGTGCCTCTGCTGCTCTGGCTTCAGGAAAATTGGCACATTGCTGGGTGTTTGAAGGTCAAGCGAGTCTGTGTCCAAGTTGTCTACCGTTCCCTGCTCCCCTCTCACCCCAGCATTCGGCTCTACTTCTTCTACAACGACACTTCACTGTTTTGAATGGCCCGGGACTGCCCCCACAGCTGTTGCAGCATGGGTTCAGAGTTCAGAGAGTCGACGGATGACATTCACCAGCTGTCATCTCAGCTGTTGGGAGGAGTTTCTCTCTGCTGCCACTCCTCCAGAGCAACATCGGCAAACTCCGAATCCGAGTCACTGTGGGAGAAGAGCCAATCCAGACCGGGACTCGAGGATCTGCTCTCCATGTTATCACCCACCAGAAGTTCCTGCGAGTTTCTCACATTGCGTGTCCTGAGCTCGTCACAAACTAATGGCGGTTCATCTCCAGTGTGTTGTGGAATGGTTGAGGTTTCCTCCATGTCCACGACTTCACTTCCCTGCTACAATTCTTGTGGTGGTGGGTTAGCTCCAGGCCCTCACAGCTTGCATTCTTTTTGCTGCCCCCTCCCTCATCACAGTTGCCATTCCCACTGCACTTAGAGTTAACATTATCACAGTCAAGGTTACCTAGGGACTGTCTATGAAGACTAAACTGATCTGCTACGCTGCTCAATGTCTCATCCGAACTGCTAGACATCTTCACAACACTTAGCGTATCAGAACTGCTCTCGTCGTCTGCGTAAATGTTTTCAAATGTGAGTGTGCACACTTTGAAATTATCTCCTTCCACCTTGGGCTTATCTCGGAACTTGGCTATGGCAGAGCTGCTGCGGAACACGAGAGGCTGGTACGCACGGCCCGAGTTTCGAGGCGTGGGTGCCAGCCTTGTGTTGCCGGAGCGGACCCTGCGCCCCCCCGAACTTTTCCCCTCGAGACTCTGGTGGCGTGTTAGCAGAGGTGAATGCGATCCTTTGGTTGGACCCTCCTCATCTGTCTCACCCTCACTGCAGAAGAAAAGAAAATAAACTTCATATTTCAAGGTTAAGATTTTGAAAGCATATCACAAGAGGTATGAAAAAAAAAAACATCCTTCTCATTTTATTATATAAGATTACTTCTATTGAAAAGACAAAAATATAACACATTTCTTTAAACCCAAATCTCTATCATGACCTCTAATAAAGTCATCTCTCGAGGCCACACACAAAAATTCACGTTATAGAGTAGTATAACTGGTTCTAGCTATTTCAGCTGAAATATCAATAAACGTACGAATCATGCAATCATTATATGCCCCAAGTCCATATCACCCAACATGCAATCACAGCACAAGACTCACCTATTCACACTGCAACAGCTTCCAGTATTGTTATCACAGGTATTGCTCCGCTCCTCGATAACAGAAATGTTACCCAGCTCAGAGCCACAGGTGGGCGCAAGAGAGAGTTTTCGACTGTGGTGATGGGGAGGATGTTGGTGGTAGCGGTGGTGGGATTGATGGTGGTGGTGGTGCCGACTGTGGTGGTGACGATGGTGGTGGTGATGCTGTTGGTGCCGCCTGCCACTGTCCTCGCCAATAATTACCTAGTTTTGTACAGATATAGGTTACATATTGGTACCTTATTTAACCAAAACAGTTGAAATCTATCATATGTGCACACATACTTGAGCAGACACACACATGCGGACTATATCATATTACATTATCTATTCATACCAAAACCCTCATTTCACATATTGACCTCTAAGCTGACAGGGTGAGATGGAGGTTCGGCTGCTGAAGGAAGTGATGATGGAGATGGTGTGGTGGAGGAGACGGCAGTCACCCCTCCAGAGACCCCCTCCAGCCCCAGGGAGGTACTGCCGTGATGAGCACCCGTCCGGTAATGCACACTGCTGCCCTTGTCCCCTGGAATCATACACATAAGGTAAAGGAGACACCGTATGTACCAAAATCAAGACATACAAAAACAATACAAAGAAATACAAACTGCAATATCAAAACACAGAACATACGAGATACAACATATATCAAAACCCTTTTCAATAGATTATTAACACAGGCACATCACAGACCTACTAAGAATGAACTCTCTGTCGTAACCCTCACCTTTGGCACTTTTAGAATAGACAATGTCCACCGAGTGAGCATCGCCGAGGGTAGTTGTTGCAATTGAGCCAGCCGATGCGGCATTTCTTCGGAGACGCTTGTGCCCCCTTGTGTTGTGGGAACTACTGCTACTGACAGTGGGCATGGATGAGTCCTCTCCATCACACCAACCAAAAGACTGGATCAGGAGATAAAATAAATAAATAAATAAATATATATATATAATATATATATATATATTATATATATATATATATATATATATATATTATATATATATATATATATATATATATATATATATATATATATATATATATATATATATATATATATATATATATATATATATATATATATATATATATATATATATTATATATATATATAAATATATATATATATATATATATATATAATATATATATTATATACATTGTTTAGGCATATTTTTAAGGTAAGTTATTTCTACTCATCCACCTTTGTGATTTAATGCGTGAGTATTATTTTAAGAAAAGATCATTCATAGGAAAACACATGGAGGAGGAAGAAGAGGAGGAGAAGAAAAGAAGTAGAGAAGAGGAGGAGAGGAGAAGAGGAGGAGGAGGAGGAGAGGAGGAGGAGGAGGAGAGGAGGAGGAGGAGAGGAACAGGAGAGAGAGAGGAGGAGGAAGAGAGGAGAGAGGAGGAGGAGAGGAGGAGAGAGAGGAGGAGGAGGAAGAGGAGGAGGAAGAGGAGGAGGAGAGAGGAGAGGAGAGAGGAGGAGAAAGAGAGAGGAGGAGGAGGAGAGAGGAGAGAGAGAGAGAAGAGGAGAGAGGAGAGGAGGAGGAGGAGGAGGAGGAGGAGGAGGAGGAGGAAGAAGAGAGAGGAGGAGAAGAAGAGGAGGAGGAGGAGGAAGAGGTGGTGGTGGAGGAGGAGGAGGAGGAGGAGGAGGAGGAGGAGGAGGAGGAGGAGAGGAGGAGAGGAGGAGGAGGAGGAGGAGGAAGGAGGAGGAGGAAAGGAAGAGAAGAGGAGGAGGAAGAGGAGGAGCAGGAGGAAGAAGAGGAGGAGCAGGAGGAAGAAGAGGGGGAGGAGGAGGAAGAAGAGGAGCAGGAGGAAGAAGAGGAGGAGCAGGAGGAAGAAGAGGAGGAGCAGGAGGAAGAAGAGGGAGGGAAATGAAGAGAGGAGGTGGAAAAGGAGGAGGATAATACTCAATTATCAAAAAACCTTCCATCAACTCTCAACCACAGGCCAATAACTTGCCACAAAACCCCAAAGCAACACCCAAACTAACCTGTGAATGTTTTGATATGGTAGAGTGATTTAGTGTCTCGGTGATCTCAGCAACACTGCCCAGCATGCCCTCCGACACACACAGGCCACGGCTGCTACTGGATGGTCCTACGATACCCACACCACCTCCAACACCACCTGTTGGAGTGAGGAAGAGAGAGGTGGGGATGTTTAAGATTTGAGTTCGGGTATATAGAAAATTTTGGAAAAATATCCAATCAATAACAGCACATTAATATATCTTTAGCAGCGTGATCATAATAATTCCAGTATTCTCTGTTGAACAAAGAGAATAATTCAAATACATCAATCCACCCTATCTCCCCAAAACACCAATAAACCAATAAAATGGTAACAATAAAAATCTATACAATAACCTCTGCCCCCCCCAAAAAAATATCTTATATACTGATAAAATGGTAACAATAAAAATCAATTGGACAATCCCCCTCAAAAGAGTAAGCTTCAGTATCTCCACTATCCTTAAATGAATCACAAGCAGGAAAGTCGCAAACTGACCTTTTGACCTCTTCTCTCTCGTGTTTGTGTCCTGAGTTTCGTTAGATGTGCCTGGTAGCGCAGAAGCCTCGCACTTCGTTCCTTCTTCACTTCCTGAGCTGTCTTTATGGTGAACATCAGCTTTTAAGTCTGCAACAAAGAAAGAATAGGCTACTGTAACAACAAGAAAGTATTTGGGAAGGGAACGATTAAGAAAAAATTAATGGCACAGATTAAGCTTTTTTGGGTCCATAAATTCTGGATAATTTTTCTATCAACCTTTTCAAATAAATCAAGCCTTTCAAAAAAATTTACACACACAATGGAAAAGAAGGAAGAGAATTAATACAAATGAGAAAATGACATTGAATAATAAAAGATACACATTATATTTTCTTATCTTCACAGAATTGTTATTATTATTATTACTGCATTATTATCATCATTGTTATTACATTCTTATCATCACTATTATCATTATTGCTATTACTTTTAGTAATAGCAATGGTGATAATAATCCAAACAGGTCTGAAAACAAAAAAAACAAAAACTCCTTACCTATTGTTGCCGGAGGTTGACTGGTGTGCGTGCCTGAAGCCTCCATGATGGAGTTCCGCGAACTGCACCCAACAGGAGGGGTCTCACTCTCGCCACCTTTGCTGTTCACCACCTGCATCTCGATGGCCTCAAAGGAACTGCTGCTGTGATCCGAAGAGAGAGAAGATGAGCACACAATGGTTCAAACTTTAATGTTGTACTATTCCTATTATACAAACACCAAAGGAAAGAGGACGAAAAGGAAGAAAGAAATAAAAATAACGACCAGAAGCATATGAATGAAAATCTCCTAACCTCATCTGTTGGGTAGGGAGGGTAGAGTTGGGGTGGTGGACGGGCGTGTTGATATCGTTGTTGGTGGTGGGGGTGGCGGGGGTGAGCTCCTCCTCCAGACAGTCGGTGGTGTCAAACATATGGTGGAGCAGGTGGTTGACCACCTTGATCCCCACCACCACTATCGAAAGTATCACTAGATGAGCGACCCATCCTGCTACCCACCATCCACAGTACTAGGGAGGAGAGAAGAAACATTAGGAACAATTATTACCTCGGCACTAAGAAATAAAGAAACATCATGAGACTAAAATTAATGGCACCAAATGGCTCCTCACCTGGTATGGAAAATGAGGAAAAAGCATATGCAGTTGTTAACAAAATTTCTAAGTTACAATAATAACCCCCTGGATCTGGTTGCAATGGTTACATAAGTGGCCAGCATCCCAGGCGTTTGGCGTGTAGGCCGGGTGTACACGAACACCCATGAGCAGTGACAAGACTCTGTACCTACACTTAGAGAAGTTATTTTGAGAAAGCTTTTTTAACTTTATTGCCATTTCCCAATGTCCATATTTGTCTTTTGATTTGCTTTATCCAGATGGTAATTACTTATTTTCCTTGCACAGACTCCATATCATCTCTCTATGTAATAAACAGCTCAGTGCAAGAAAAAAAAAATATATGGAACATTTGGTTATTTGTGTCACTGCTACGCACATTACATTCCACATTTGTTTATCGATGGGAACAATGCTAAAGCCCCCTTCTAAGTGCCAAATGAGTCAAATCACACAGAGGTTTGTGCACTTGTGGCGAGTCTTTTCCGTCACCCTGGCCTTCGCTCTTGACACTTTGTTCACGTCACCTGAGTAGCTGTCCAAATTTTTAATTGACATGATCCCAACGTCATCCAGATCCAAGGGGTTAAGTCAGAAAAAACCTGTGGCAAATGCTTTGGCTATTATGTAAGTTGGATCAATGATAGGAAACGCACACACCAATGAAGTCCTCACCCTGATGTGCTTATTTCCTACCACAATAAGACACGCATTTAATTCATATCATATAAGCTGAGCACACTTAATATACTAGCCCTAAAGAATTACATCATAGACACATTCCTTTAAATTAAGGCTGATGACTTGTGATTTGCACAGAGGAAAAAATTAGCGTACACATATATATGATTCATATACATATTCATATATACATATATATACAAATATGTGCCAAATGATGCCATATTTCATAGAATGGTCTCTGAAATTGGTGCCTAACAGGTCTACTTCAGCAGAATTTGAGCAGAAGGCCCCAAACTATATTTAATTAGATCTTCCCAATATCATCAACTAGTACTATAATATCTAGAGTACTCTAATAATCAGCATCACATTGCATATAAAAACACAAGCAAAAACCCAAATACCAATTCATCTTACTATATCTCCTCAGTGGGTATGGCTATAGACATCATGATGTAACATGACATGTGAACGCATCACGATTTGCAACTGTATACAGATTAGGCCTAGCCATAAACTCTAGACTGTTGCATAATATTACATCACAAATAAATCATGCCCCGTTACCTTTCGGATATTTCTATCTCTCAAGCTATCCATTTCCATTTCCATTTATACTGTTTATGTTTAACGAAACATCCATTTGTGTTCACAGTATCAAATAAAGAAAAAATCTTTTACAGATTGTCATATATAGTGACCCAACAGTAATTATCCTAAAACTGAACAAAAACATTCATAAACAAAATCTTCCTCAACAAAATAATACAACAGTAGCAGTAATTCCATCATGTCAAACATCACATAACAAGAAAATGGTAAATATCACAATGAGGAAAATATTCTGGAAAAAATATATGAAGTACAGCAAGACAAAATTTCCAACAGAACTCATTCCAAAAGAAAAACAATAATCAAAGAGATTAATAAAAATACAATAACAAGAGTAATAACAATTCTAATAGGAATGATAATGACAATAATAATATCAAGGATAATAATGATGATAACCTATCAATGACAATGACTGATGATTAATGATGATGGTGACATTAATAACAACAACAAAAACAAAATGACAACTACAACAATATAAAAATAACATTACTAAAAATAAAAAATAAATAAAATTAATAAAACTAAAATATAAATAAATTAATTAATCAATAACAATAAAAAGATAAACAAACAAAATTAATGACAATAATACCAAAATAATCATCTTCATAAATCATAATAATGACAAAATAACAACAATAATACAATCAATAATAACAAAAATAATAATAATAAATATAAAATACAAAAAGTAATCTTCAACAGAAATCATAATCCTAAGCATAATAGCAACAACAAAAATATAAAATTAATAACATTAATAATCATTACAATACTACTAACATCAGTAGTTGTAATAATCAATACTACTACTACTAATAATAATAATAACAATAAAATATATACTACATAATAATAGTAAGAAGAATATCACTGATAGTAATAACAGTATTACTCATAAAAATAACAATAACGATAACAAAAATAATAACAGTAACAATAACAACAATAATAACAGTAACAATAACAATAGTGACAATAATAACGATAAATAATAATAATAATAATAATAATAATAATAATAATAATAATAATAATAATAATAATAATAATAATAATAATAATAATAATAATAATAATAATAATAATAATA